TTACAGATCTTCACTGTCACTAGGAACCACATCCCCCCAACTCCATTCTCTGTTAAACTAGCAAAATCTTTCAATTAGTTCATCCCATGCCATGAATATGCTGATGTACTGTGTTCTTACATATTCAATGTGTCTCTTTTATCAATGCCTTTAACTAATTATGGGTGAGTGGAAACTACCTTATATCACACCATTATGTGACACTCCTGGTGTTAGAGATAATTATGGGTAGTAGTGCCAGGAGCAGTATAACTTTCTCTTCTGTGCTAAATCTACTTCTAAATCTCTCAACCTATATAATTCATTATTTAGGAGCTGGATTAATACTGAGGAATAGCACCCTCTGAATTTGCATTTGGATAAGGGCAAGGCTAATCATATCAGGATGTGGTTGCTACCAATTATGGCACTTGGTTTTCTAGACTGTTAAAAGACGTAACAAAATGATCAGCGTTTTGCTATTTTTGTGTTAAATATCTGTTCCCTATTTAAACTGCAGGAACTTCAGAGGATTGACTGAAAAGCCCAGCTCTGTGTACTGTTGGTAGGATATAGGTTGATAGAATCCATTAGAGGGCACTTTGAAAGACTTTCTCAAAATGTAACTTGTACACCTTTTGTCCCAATGAATCTATTCTCAAAAGGAACTGCACAAATGTCACTTGTTACAAGGATGTTGGTTGCCTTCTTGTTGCCATCTTTTTTACTATCAACAGTCTTATTAATGTACAGCATGAGAGACCAGTCATGCTAATTATGGTATTTACATACTATGGTATGCTGTTCATTTCATTTAAAAGAGTAAAGTAGCCTGGATGTGGTGGTTCACGCCTGTAATCCCAGCAATTTAGGAGGCTCAGGTGGAAAGATCACTTGGGATCAGGAGTTTGAGGCTGCAGTGAATGTGCCGCTGCACTCCAGCCAGGATGATAGAGTGAGACCCTGTCTCAAATAAGAAAATGAAACAGTAAAGTAGGTATACATATAGTGACAGGGAATGGTGTCCAAGATAAATTTTTAAGTGAAAAAAGGGGTGCAGAATGGTATATATTATAGGATCCCACTTGTTCAACACAAAGAAGGGAGGTATTATATAAGAATTTGTGTATATGTGTTCTTGCATATGCTTAGAAAATTTCAAGGATGACGCACAAGAAATAGTTGTCAGTTACCTTGGAGATTAGAGGTGGCGAGGCTAGGGATTTTAGTTTTCACTTGACACCTTTCTGTACTGCTTGACTTGTTTACAACAACCTGTAAAACCTTTAAATACTAAAATTTAAATAAAAACTGTACCTCACTAGATTCTTTCCTCAACAATTTATACTAAGAAATAAAAGGAATATTAGTGGTTGAGGTGAGAGATCAGGTCTGAAGCAAAGGAGGCTGACTCTGATGAAACCAAGGGCCTCTAAAAGCTACCTCTGTGGCCAGAGGACTTAGGAGAGATGTTGCTTTGTTAAAGCATAATGCTAAGAAAACAAGTAAGATTAAATTGGGTAAAAATTACTTTATTAGTTTTTTGATGAAACAGTTGTAATCATGTCATTAGTTTTGATCTCTGGATATATTAATACCTAAACAGCATAGTAATTGTATTCCAGACTACAATTTAAACATTAAATGTTTCAATGTGTAGAATGATAGCTGTTTTTCTTGTTCAATTTGTTTAAATGTTGCAAGTGAATGCTAAGCTACAGTTTCTTGAGCTTTTTACTTAAGGACCTGAGGAAAAATGCAAGTATAATCTTATGCTTGAAGTAAAGAAGATATAAATTACCTGATATTTACCTTATAATGTTTGGATTAAGTTAAATCTTCAAATTCTTAAGGCCCCTTCTAGCTCAGTCTCCCCCTAAAAAGGGCTTTTGTCTGAGATACAAGAAGTCAAAGGGTTGTCTGTCAGAGTGTCCTCTTGGTTTGGCATAATGAAGAGTTCCTTCACCCAGTTGTGGATGTTCAGAGACAAGAGTCACTATCCTGTGTTAAGTGACCCTCCTTCTCTAACATTTGGGGTTTTAGCCAGGAGATAGGTGGTAGAACACAAGACAGGTTTTACTCTAGGATGTTGATTGAGAAAGATATATAATCGGGCAGGTGGTAGAGACTGGAGTAATGGGAACAAATTGTGAGAAAAGAAAAGGCTATGTAATTTCAGGCTGTAGAAAGACTGGAATCAGGGGTAGAAAGACTGGAATCATAAAGAATGCAACTTTTGCCATATTTTTTCTGGTTGTGGGAACCAGAATATGAGGAACTACCTGGAATTTGGTTTTCAGTTGAACCTGGACCTGGAGGTTATGCCTAGAGAACGAGGCATAAAGATTCTTATCTTTGTTGGTGATCACAGAAGCTGTTAGAACTGGCCCCAGCTTGGACCGGGCATGAAGGAGGGAGGAATTGGGAGAAGAAACCAGACATCCTAGAAAGACAGAGAAGATGCTGAACTCTGAGCGGGCTGGACTTTGTATGTGCTCAAAGCCTGTACTTGACTGCCCTGCATGGAGGATGTTGCTTACATTTCTTACTCCATAATAAAATATTCTGAGTTGACTGAGGTCGAGAAAGAGAAAAGAACCAATAATAATAGCTACCATTTATGAGTACTTACCATGTGCTTTTTTTTTGAGACAGAGTCTTGTTCTGTCACCTAGGCTGGAGTGCAGTGGCATGATCTGGGCTCACTGCAACTTCTGCCTCCTGGGTTCAAGTAATTCTCATGCGTCAGCTTCCCAAGTAACTGGGACTACAGGCATGCACCACCACACCTGGCTAGTTTTTGTATTTTTAGTAGAGACAGAGTTTCACCATGTTGGCCAGGCTGGTCTCAAACTGGCCTCAAGTGATCGCCCACCTTGGCCTCCCAAAGTGCTGGGATTGCAGGTGTGAGCCACCATGCCCAGCCTACCATGTGCTTTTAAAAGTGCTTTACATGGATTATCTCATTTAATCTTTCCAGTAACGGTGTAGCAGATAGGAACTGAGGCATAAAGTGGTTGAGTCGTATTCTGAAATTGTAACGGGTAGAGCCTGAGTCTGAGGCAGTCTGCCTCTAGAACCTGTGCTTTTAGTTATTCTGTATTTCTAGGACCATAGCTCCCAGAATCCCTTCTTCACTGCCACCCCCAATCAATCAAGGTAATGGCCAGCTGTGAAAGAAGGAAATTTCCTATTAGAGTACTATTGCTGTGGCCCTAATGAACAAGTGAAATGATTTTAAGGGAGTAAGAAAGCAGAGGCTTGAATAAAACCTGTGGGTAAGTGAAGTACAATTCTGTAGCCAAAATTCTGTTTTCTTTCTAAATTTAAATAAGTGATTTTGTATCTTCTGTGTGGAAGACACTATTAGGTATTATGTGTGAGACTAAGAAGATTCAGAAGCAGATACTGTCCTTCCAAAAGCTAGTCTCTGAGGAAGTTAAAACATGTGCACTAATAACCATAACCCAAGCTTATGTTAGAGATATGGTTAGAGAGTCATGGACTACCACAGAAGTTAGACAAAGGTGAGGAGGTGGCATGTGAGGAAGACCATGCAGTATGGGTAGGTTCTTCTGTAGCTGGAGATGTCAGAGATATGATTGCAGCCAGCAAAGTACCAGGTACATTTGACGGAACTTGAAAGTGTCATGCCAGACCTGTTGTATTTATATACATTGTCTCATTAACTCTTTGTAACAACGCTTTATTGACCAAATGATTTAATTGTCAAAACGAGGACACTTTTGAGAGTGGAGTACTAATCAGATGGAATAGGAATAAACAGGGGCTCAGGAAAACCAGGACCTATGAGGCAGTTGTTATTATTCCCACTTAACACATTAGAAAATGAGGCCACAGATCACATAGCTAGGAATTGGTGGAGCTAGGATTTGAATCCAATCCTGGCTTCAAAACTAAAAGATTCATACTTCCTTCCATATACAATGGGGTGCAATTGAAGGGCTTTGAGCAGAGAACTGTCATAGTCAGAACTATGCAGGACAGATGGAAAGGAAGGACTGGAATTGGGGTGATGAGTTAAGAGATTGCTGAATAAGATTCATGTAGAACATTCCAACGACCTGTATATAAGATGTTAACTTTGGAATTTAAAGGAAGTGATAAATGTAAGAGATATCACAAAGCACAAAGGAATACATGACAAAGTTAGACTACTGGGCAACTTTGAAGGGAGAAGAAGAGTAAAAGGTAATGTAGGATTTCAAATTATTTTAATGAAAACATTTTGTTAATCAAAAGTAGCCACTAAGGTAACTTAGAAAGATAATGTGTGTTTTCACTAGTGTACTAAACTAAGAGACAGTCTGCTTCTCAGTATAGTTGACTTACTGACTTGTAATCATGAGCAAATTATTTAACCCTTTCTTGCCCAGATTTACTTATCTTTAAAACATAATGTTGTCTCCCACTACAAAAGCCCCATGAACTAGCACCGATTGAATGCTTCTTTATCTCCACATTTTCAAAATTTGAGTGCTCATGCTCAATAATGTGAAATTGCATCCTAGTGTTAAATACAACCACTTTTATATCATATTGCAAAACAGTAATAATATTTATCATGTGATATGTTATCACTCCCTTCTGAACTCCTGCGTCTGTTATTACCTTTAACTAGTTGCCAGATAAATTGTAATGCCAGCTTTATAACATCTTTTCTGCCATTGTCTTCAGCTGTTATTTAACTTCTTTATTATGGTTTAACTTTCTTATATGTTTATCTTAGCTCCCCAATAGAGTAGAAGATACTTTAGGGATGGGAACATAGTTTATACATCCCTCCATTCCTCCTAATTCCTTAGGTAGAGTCACCCAGGAAGTATTTATTGATCTGATTCAACCAGTTCATGTGGCACAATAAGACTTTTTGTTTTGTACATTATACCCTGTTAATATGGTCTCAAATAGTATTGGATTTTGGATAATTATTTCTTACTCTGAACTCATAATGATCCCAGAACCCGCTTTTCCCTCCAAGTTTCTATCTGCCTGTCCCTTTCTCTTCTAATTTTTTCAAAAATGTGCATGTCATCCCTGTGCAGGGACCATGCTAATCTTCTCTGTATCATTCTAATTTTAGTATATGTGCTGCTGAAATAAGCGCCCTTTCAATTTTTTTTTTTTTTTTTAAGATGGAGTCTCACTCTGTTGCCAGGCTGGAGTGCAGTGGCGTGATCTAAGTTCACTGCAACCTCCGACTCCCTGGTTCAAGCGATTCTCCTGCCTCAGCGATTCTCCTGCCTCAGCCTCCCGAGTAGCTGCATTTATAGGCGTGAGCCACCACGCCCAGCTAATTTTTTCTTTTGTATTTTTAATAGAGACAGGGTTTTACCATGTTGGCCAGGATGGTCTCGATCTCCTGACCTCATGATCCACCTGCGTTGGCCTCCCAAAGTGCTGGGATTACAGGCTTGAGTCACCATGCCCGGCTACCCTTTCGATTTTTTTTGTTTGGAGACAGAATCTTGCTCTGTCTCCCAGGCTGGAGTGCGGTGGCACGATCTCCACTTTCTGCAACCTCCGCTCCCTGGGTTCAGGCAATTCTCCTGCCTCAGCCTCCTGAGTAGCTGGGACTACGTGCACATGCTGCCACGCCCAGCTAATTTTTTGTATTTTAGTGGGGTTTCACTGTGTTGCCCAGACTAGTCTTGAACTCCTGAGCTCAGGCAATCCACCCACTTCAGCCTCCCAAAGTGCTAGGATTAAAGGCATGAGCCACCACGCCCATCCTAATTTTTTAAACAAGAACCTTTCTATGCCTTTACTTAAATATTAATGTAATTAAATTTTTATTTATTGTTCTTCTTGTTAGTTTTAGCTTTATTATCACATATATTTCATAAATACCTTTATTCAAGGAGTTAATAAAACATCATTTGCTATATTTGTTTTCTGTTGCTGCATAATGGATTACCACAAACTTAATTGCTCAGAACAACAAACATTTATTATCTTGCAGTTTCCATGGGTCAGGAGATAGTCATGGCTCAACTTGGTCCTCTGCTCAGGGTCTCACAGGCTGCAATCAAGGTGTTGGCAGAACCGGTGGTCTCATCTCAGGCTCAGGGTTCTCTTCCAAGCTCATGTGATTGTTGGCAGAATTTAGTTCTTTGTGGTTGTGGGATTGAGGCCCTCAGATCCTAGGGGCTGCCTGTAATTCCCTGTCACATGGTCTTTCCATAGGCAGTTCATATAACAGCACCTTGTTTTTCAAGGCTTGCGAGGGATAAAGTCTCAGTTTGTCTCTCAAAATGGCAAGAAGGAATCAATAATATACACATATATATCTAGTCATGGGAGTGACTTCCGATTACCCTTGCCATATTCTATTGGTTAGAACCTACTCACATGTCCCACCCATACTCAGGGAAAGGGGATTAAACAAGGACATGAATATCAGGAGGTGGACATCATTGGGGGTCACCTTATGGTCTGTCTGCTGTATTTGGCATAGCTCTGAATCAGGCTAATTGAATACTTTCTTTTTCTTTTTTTTCTTTTTATTTTTTGAGATGGAGTTTCCCTGTTGTTGCCCAGGCTAGAGTACAGTGGCATCTCGGCTCACCACAACCTCCACCTCCTGGGTTCAGGCGATTCTCCTGCCTCAGTCTCCCGAGTAGCTGGGATTACAGGCATGTGCCACCACGCCTGGCTAATTTTGTATTTTTAGTAGAGTTGGGGTTTCTCCATGTTGGTCAGGCTGGTTTTGAATTCCCGACCTCAGGTGATCTGCCCGCCTCAGCCTCCCAAAGTGCTGGGATTAGAGGCGTGAGCCACCGTGCCTGGCCAAGACTTTTTAACTTACTGTTATCCATCAACAAACACTCACTGGGCAAGGCTCTTCTAATAGCTGTGACTCTAACTTTACTGTCATCCACCAAATTTTTTCATCTACTTACAAAGATAAAATGAGAGATGATGTTCAGTAATTTGCCTGAAGTCATTCATTGTGTGAGGCCTTCCACTGAGACAGAGTGCTGGAGTGGGAGCAAAATTGAGATGATTTGAATTTGGGTACCTATCAGATATCCACATATATCCCGTGGCCTGGGGTATAAAGAGGGTCTGGTCTCTAGTAGAGATTTGGGGACTCTTCATGTATAGATGATATATGAAGCCTAGGATTTGAGTATACGTTGAGAGGGAAAAGGTGCCAAAGGTAGAATTCTGGGGGAAATCCAGGTACTCAGTTTGAGGGACTTCTCTCACCTCCTTATATAACAACCCAAACAAAAAGGAGACAAAGTTGTATTATTTTGTCTACTTCTGCTTGAGTCCCTTCTCTGTCTGTTTATTATAGATACTATTTACTCAATTATACCTCTTTTCTTCTGGTTTTTTCTTCTCTTCCTTTTCACTGGACCCATTCGCTATCATCCATAAACATGTTCTGGTCTCCCTTTGCTGTATCTTCTGGCTACCAATACCTATCTAGTCAGCCACTTAATGTTTCTGGGCCTCAATTTCCTCAGAGATTGAGGGACGTGATGTAGGGAGGAGGTTATGATTTTTAAGAGGCCTCTTTCTGACCTAAATTTTGTTCTGCCATCTTATTTCTCTACCTTTTCCCGTTTTGGGTTGTGTTGACTGTTCAGTTCCTTTTTGAAACTTCCCTCCCTGGGCCACAGAGTTGTACTCCTCTAGTTCCCTTTCTGCCTGCCTCTGTCACTGCTTCTCCATTACTTTTGTTTCCTCCTGCCTCCTAATTATGTCCATATTCAGGGGTGTCAAGTTCTTTGTCTTTTCTCTCTTTATACTCACTGCCTCAGAGATTTCATCTACACTCCTGGCTTTACCTTTTTTTTTTAATTATAGAAGTAACACACAATTACATGTTCCTATTAAAAAATAATATAGATGCATCTAGAGTAAAAAGTGAAAATGCCCCTTCAACTTCATCCTTAGACGTAACCACCATTATCTGATTGGTGTTCTTTCTCCAGGTGTTGAGTCCCAAATCTATAAAGGTAGCTCTAAACTCTAGTTTTCATCAATAGCTGCAATCAGGATACTTTTATTTGGATGCTCCACTATCAGCATGTAAAATCAGCTAGCTGAATGACTTTGGGCATGTGGTTGATATGGTGTTTTTTTTTTTTTTTTTAAATTCTGTGGTTCTTTCATGTCTTGTATTTATTTCTTTTTGTGTCTCCATAGCATTAAACAGTAAATATTCCTTACATGTTTGGTTGATTCTGTTATTTTGCAGCTCATTAGTACTCCTTCCCAATTTGCTTATATGCATAGACCCAAGGAAATAGAATAACCCTCTGTTAGTACTTTAGGTGAAAAGGTGGGTGGCTGAGTATAGGGCTTAATCATTGGGAACCAGAACACATGAGCAGTTCAATGGGTAACAGTAAGTATGGGGGCTTGATGGAGGAGAATGGGGTGGTAGATGGGTAGTATATTGAAAACTTTGGACAGTAAATTAAAGCCAGGGTGCTAACATTCAATAAATATATCATGGGTTGTAAAATATAAATATCTTAATCTAAAATATTAGCTACCAAAATCACTGTTCATATGAAAACATTGTTTTGGCTCTGAAAAAGATACATGGATAATCTCTGCAGTGTAATGGGTCATTTTGCAAAAGTATGTTCTACTGTATGTGTATTAAATGCAAATTAATTGGAAAGATTGCCAATGAGAGTGTATCATTGCATGTTGTATTAATGAGGCTGTATCGCATAAGCAGTTACACACTGAAAATTGCCAGTCTCTGTAAAAGCTTAATTCCAAAGAAATTTAGTGTAATCATGGACAGGATCCATAGTAGTGGTTCTCAACTGGGGGCAATTTTACCCCCTGGGGAAATTTAGCAATGTCTGGAGACATTTTTGTCACAATTGTGGGGAGGCGTTACTGGCATCTAGTGGGAACAGGCCAGGTAAGCTGATAAACATCCTACAATGCACAGGCCAACTCCCTACCACGAAGAATTATCTGACCCAAGATGTCAGTAATGCTGAAGTTGAGGAATCTTCATGAAGGGAATTTTGGGTAGGGCAGGAGACCCATGGAGGTGACCATTGATGCCCCTTTGTATTAATGCTGATGTCCTGTAATTCTTAACCTTGCTACCTAGTTGAAAGCTAGAGGTTATGACAATTGTTTGGCTTTTAGTAACAGCATATATATCAGATAGATGGACCCATTTATTTTCTTTTCTAGGTGTTTTGGTTATTTGACTATTAAAGTAACTTATCCCCAGACTTTGTCAGTGCTGATTTTTTTTCAACGGGAACTTACCGCCAGAACGTTTAAAGAGCAACAGACAAAAATGCTGAGACTTGATAAAATTTTATGTTGAGTTATTGCATATTAATACTTAGTCCTAAATACTGTATGCAAATGTATCTTAAACTGAGATATAGCTCAGGAGTGTAAATGGGTTGGCTAAGGTAATGTAGTGATTTATTCATAGACCCAAGGCCAGAAATCAGATTCCTTGATTCCCAGGCCATTATTCCTTTGATTTGGCTATTGCTTCTGTATAACATCTTTTCTGCTTTGAGTTTCCTGAAGAGCACAATCAAGTATGTCGAAGATTGAATCATCTTAGGTGCTGGACGTTTTGCACATTTATACAAGAATATTCAATATTACCAGTCATCTTAAAAAAGCAACAAAATAACCCAAAATAATGCTGAGTAAAACACAAGAAGTTATGTTACTTTTTCACTTAGTAACACGGATGAAATATTACAGCAAATGGGGACAGAGCTTAAAGGAAGTGGTAGGGTGAAAGGACCATTAGTGTAACACAGCTGGATGGCATTTCTCTAAGCTACCATTTTGAAGAATGTTGCTCTTTGGACTGACTCCCAAACTCCATCTGGCTAGCACTTTGGAATTTTAAATGGGTAAAAAATATGATTTTCCATTGCTCCCAGCTGCCCTGCATGGTTTAATAGACAACTATGTAAAAGACAGGGAGTAGAACCAGCATTTGCTTTGCTTTATGAAATTGGGAAATATACTTGGTTTTTTAGCTCAAGTTTTTTCATAAGTAGATGATATGGTAGAGGATTATGGTAGTTAATATTTATTGAATCCTTACAATTTATCAGGTACTAAGCCCTTCCACATATTATATTA